TTCTATTTATCCTTATAAGGAAGAACAGAATTAATAGAGAGCATTTCAGTCTAAGTGCTGAGTACCCAAGCCAGAGCTCCCAGTCTGCAGCTCTCAAATTCTCAGAAAACAAAACCCCACAAACCAAATAAGCAGTCGCCACTTCCAAGAACTGAACCCTTCACAGAAACTGCCAGTCTCTCCCTTTTGGGGAAAGCAAACGGGCGCAGAGGGTTCTCAGCCTCACGGCCACAGGTTTGGACCCTCAAGTAAACAGCCAACGTAAAGTCAACCGTTCACATTTTTCCTTTACGTTCCGAAATACTGAACTATACACATCCCTGCACCAATGGTTTAAATACACCACTGTTATAATATATATAACAAAAATAATTCAACGGTTAATATAGGGTTTTGCCCCCGAGTTGCATTACTTTTGGACTTATGCCATCTACTACATTAACGGTATTTCAGAGCAGGGCATCCGGTCAGGAGGCAGCACAGGCTGCCAAACCAGCACTAAGATTTCAGACCTGACTAATTCTAACCCCTGCATACACATACACCAGATGTCTGTAGATAACGTTGCACGTAATAAAACATTAGCAAGTCATCACCCTGTTTTATTTGATAGGTGAAAAAACCGTGTAGCAACGCTTCCTGTGATCTAGACTGGAGCGATAAGCAGACATTTGTCTTTTCAAATAGCTTAACGACACCTTTCCCTAATGTTTTCCCTGAAGTCCGTTTCAGAATCCAAGTCAAACACAGCTCTGCTTTTAAAAGGGCTCACTGAGGCTCTCAACATTGCTTTTTGTAGCAAAAAGCTGGTTGCCTTGAGCATCACCTTCCATATTCCTCTCTCAGCTACTCTGTTTCCCACCTCTGCTCTGGGCCCACATTGCACATCCAGAAGAATCGTTTCAGCTTTAGGGAGAGACAGATTAGGGAATAGATCCAGCTGAACACAAATCAGCTGGCCAAAAACTGCGGGTGGCTTGGGGCCAGGTACAAAAGGCTTTAGGCAGCACCACCTATTAAACGGAGAACCAGGCAGTACTGAAGTCCACCACCTGGTCTGGAACAACTTGCCTGTATTTCTGCAGAGCATCAACTGCTCTTCAACTCTGGAAAAAACCCCTCCATTATCTGATCAAAAATTAGCATTTCTCCCTTATTCTTAAATGTATAAGCATGGATATTTCAAGTATCCCACAGAGAAGCGGGTAGGGGGAATTTTGAAGTAGTTGTGTTGTGTAAATCTTCTGTTATTCTGGAAAACCTAATTAACTTGATGCCTATGACTCTCCATCCTTTGACATGCTGTTTCCACCACTTTGATGTCACTTTCAGACAGCCCTTAACAAGAAAAAAAAAGAATCCAACTCTACCCCACAAAGATGGAACATATTAATAAATTAAAAAGCTTCAGACACATAAAAGTATCTTTGATCAAAGTTGTTAGCATTTAGTGTCTGAAGAGATAAACCTCCAGAAAGCTAGTATTAAGTAAACAATAAGAAATTTTTTTAAACACAGTTCAGAAGTTCAATAAAAAAATCCCAATGCATTTAGTCATACTTGCAGTATCATAAATCTGATTTTATTTCTACCTCCTTTTAGTTACATGTATTTTAAAAAGTAGAGAGGAAGTATCCTTACGAAGGTTCAGAAGTTTTCTTAATTTCAGTTTTATACTAAATTACAGCTTCCACACTAAAATACATCTTCCTTTTAACCAGATTTACAATGACAAATTAAGTACAAAGATCAATTTTTATATTCCCATCCTCAATAAGAAAATGAAACTTCCTCACATGCTAAATAGTATTACAGGAAGAAAAAAGCGTTTTAATTCATCCCTGTCTCCCACTCTCATACGTTCACCTTTATCTCCGGGATTATTTTTTTTTCTTGGGGCCACACCTATGGACTAGCAGGGATGCTAATGCTGGGAACATCCAAAGAAGCTTAGCAGCGATCTGTACTGCTAAAGCAGAGCTGGAGATCATGAGAAGGGAGCCCAAATCAGTATCTCTTACCAACGCCAGGATGACAATCGACTTTGGAGTATTTTATCCTCAAGAAAATAGAGGTGCTATGGTATAGTCTGTCTTACAGTTGGACTCGATGATCTTAAAGGTCCTTTCCAACCTAAACGATTCTAAAGTCCATACTCTCCTCATCACAAAAGGTAACAGTCCACTGGCTGATGCACAGTCTCAGAGTTGGAACTGTTCATCCTAAACAGTTCAGTTGGAATTTGGTAGGAAACCCAATTCACAGTAAGAAAGTCTCATAAAAGGGAACTGGTGTTTATCATTTAATGTAATTGCTAAAATAAGACTAACTTCAACATACATTAGGCTGATTGGAAAGATCAATTATTTTCCAGATTCCTCACAAGTCTGAAATATTGGCCCACTTAAGTCACGACAAGTTTCTTGCAGACAAAGCTATCCTAACGCTGTATGAAAAAGAAGTTCAGAAGACCTCAATTTCGTCTTTGGCATGGCCAGAGCAAGTATTAGGAGATACTTACAGAAGGGTACTTTGGGATGGAAGGAGAAAGTGCAGAATAAACAAAGCATGTAATTTCAGTAGCAGTTAAGCAGTAAGTGAAAAAACTGCATCAAAGGCTGGTGTGCTCAGAAGAAACATCACTGTCAGTCTCAGGGGGAACAGGAGTAGTCATACCCACGTGTTAGGGCAGAGTTCAGCTATGAATATTACGGAGTCACCGGAAAGCCATTTAGGTATCACTGCCCTAGATGTTGCCTTCCCAATATCGACCATGGATAAAGTATACAATGTCTTCAGAACAAGGCTTTATGCAAATAAGCCATTTCAAACCCAAAAGAGAATGAAGTTTATTGTATTTCAAATTCCTTGAAAAGATTATTAAAAAAACCAAAACCAATCCTCCATAGAGAAATATGACTAAAAAAGAAGATGTATTTTGTCACAATGAGGTTTTACTGGTCCAATAACAAAGAAGTTGATGTTTTTCCTTCAGACATTAAGCACGTACCTGTGCGGTGATCTTCTATTCCATGGTCACCATTTTCTACAACTGTTGGCCCAGAAGCTGAAGTATCTGCAAGAAGTCAAAGGAAGTGTTAGCGCTGGACGAAGTTAATTTTAATCCAAAATTTAAAATCAACACTGTAATGTTATCAAACACAGATAAGGCCTTTTTTTCCCCAAAAAATTATTTTTGAAATGTTAAGGCACCCACATAGCACCAAGTCAGTGCAACTTAAAACCCAAAAGGAAGAGTTTTTCAATCACAAAAAAGCTAGTTCCTTGAAGGAGACTCAAAGCATAACAACCAGAAGCTTCTTTATCTATTTGTACCATCATTTCAAACGAAGCTTTCCTAAGGGCCAGCACTGGAACACTGCAACTCTGGATTTCCTTCAAGCAAGTAACGCTTAGCCAAGCTGATATCCAGCAAGCCTGTTGAAGTTTGTGAGGCAGGAGCAGTTTATTAAAGTCAAGGTTGACAGCATCAGGCTTTTAACACCATCTCCCATAACATCCTCATAGACAAACTGACAAACGGTGGGTCACCGCACAGTGAGGTGGATGGAAAACTGCCTGAACAGCCAGGCTCAGAGGGTGGTAACCACTCGCACAAAGCCCAGCTGGAGGTCAGTCAATGGTGGTGTCCGCCAGCACCTGACACTGGGGCCAATACTGTTTAACATCTTCATTAATGACCTGAACGATAGAGCAGAGCACACCCCCAGCAAGTTTGCAGATGATTAAAAAAAACAAACTGGGAGGAGTGGCTGATACACCAGAGGCTTGAGACGCTGTCCAGAAGGACCTGGAGAGGTTGGAGAGATGAGCAGAGAAGAACCTCATGAAGTTCCACAAGGGGAAATGCAAAGTCCTGCACCAAGGGAGAAATAAGCCCAGGCACCAGAATACACTGGGGGCCAGCTTGCTGGAAGGCAGGTCCTGCAGGAAAAGCCCTCGGGGTCCTGGTGGCCACCAAGTTGAACATGACCCAGCAACATGCCTTTGCAGCAAAGATCAACAGCATCTGGGCTGCGTTAGGCAGAGCAT